TGGGCCCTGAACTCTGGGCCTGGGCACTGTCCCTCAGCTCTTCAGCTCAAGGCTAGCACTCTACCACTTGAGCCACAGTGCCATTTCCAGCTTTTTCTGCTTATGTGGTTGGTGCTGAGGAATTGAACCCAGGGCCTCATGCATGCAAGACAAGCACTGTACCACTGAGCCACCTTCCCAGCCCTTTTTTTTTTTTTTTTTGCCTGTCCTGGGGCTTGAACTCAGGGCCTGGGTGCCTTGAGCCTCTCTGTGCTCAAGGCTAGCACTTTACCACTTGAGCCACAGCACTACTGCTACTTCTAGTTTTTTTCTGAGTGGTTTACTAGAGACAGTCTCATGGATTTTTCTGCCCAGGCTAGCTTCAAATCATGATCCTCAGATCTCAGCCTTCTGAGTAGCTAGGGTTACAGGCATGAGCCACTGGTACCTGGCTAGCTTCTATCTTTTAAGTTTAGACCAGTACAGTTAAAGAGGGATCCTGGTGGCTCACGCCTGTAATCCTAGCTACTCAGGAGCCTGAGATCTGAGGATTGTGATTCAAAGCCAGCCCCGGCAGAAAAGTCTGTGAGACTCTTATCTCCAGTAAACCACTAGAAAACTGAAAGTGGCTCTGTGGCTCAAGCGGTAGAGCACTCGCCTTGAGCTGAAGAGTGCAGGGACAGCGCCCAAGTCCAGAGTTCAAGCCCCACAACCGATGGGGGGGAAAAAAAAAAGCAGGCCAGGCAGGAAAATCCATGAGACTTTTATCCAATTTGTTATAAAAAAAAGTCCGAAGTGGCACTGTAGCTCAAGTGAGCAAAAGAGCTCAAGGTCAGTGCCCAGTCCCTCAGTTCAACCCCTAGGACTAGCATCAAAAAAAAAAAGGAGAAAGCCAGGCGCCAGTGCTTCACACCTGTAATCCTAGCTACTCAGAAGGGTGAGATCTGAGGATCACTGTTCAAAGCCAGCCTGAGTAGGAAAGTCGGTAAGACTCTTATCTCCAATTAACTACCAAAAAATGGGAAGTGGAGCTATAGCTCAAGTGGTAGAGTGCTCACCTTCAGCTGAATAGCTGAGAGACAGCGCCCAAGCCCAGAGTTCAAAGAAAGCCCCACGACTGACAAAAAAAAAAGTAAAAAAAAAAAGGGGGGGCCGTGAAGGGAACAAACACATGAATCATTCAACAACCAATAAAAGTATACCACTATACTCGGTGCCAGTGGCTCACACCTGTAATCATAGCTGATTAGGAGGTTAAGATCTGAAAATAGTGGTTTAAAGCCAGCCAGGGCAGGAAAGTCTCTGAGATTCATCTCCAACTAATCACAAAAAACTGAAGTAGAGCTGTAGCTCAGGTGGTAGAGTGCTATAGCACAAAAGCTTAGGGACAGATCCCAGGTCAGAGTTCAAGCCTCAGGACTGGCCAAAAAAAAAAAGAAAAGAAAAAGGAAAGTACACCATTATAACACACAGATTATTCCTGTCAATAATAGCTTTTAATGGCTTATAAAATATTGTACGAGTTATAGGGGAACATGCTATAATCCCTAATACACAGGAGGCAAATAGGAAGATAAAAGGCGAAGGCTAGTCCAAACAAAAGCATAAGACCTTATCTAAAACCAAACTAAAGCAAAAAGTAAAGGGGACATAGACCAAGCAAGGTAAAGAAAGCACTTGCCTAGCAAGTAAATACAAAGGCCTATGTTCAAATACACCACCAAAAAAAATTCATACTGTATATTACTTTTTTCTTAATTTGGGAAGTTGCTTTTTAACATTTTTAAAAGCCGTTCATATGTGGTGCAGTTGGAAAATCTTTCATCTAAAAAAGACTTAAGATAGCCAGGCAGCAGTGATTCATACCTGTAATCCTAACTACTAAGGAGGTTGAGACTTGGAAGATCTCAGTTTGAAGCTAGCCTGGGCAGAAAAGTCTGCAAGACTCCATCTCCAGTCAACCAGAAAAATGCCAGACTGAGGCATGACTCAGGTGGTAGAGTAGTGGCTGTGAGTGAGCAATCCAAGTGAGAGCTCAAGGTCCTGAGTTGAAGCCCTGGCACCAAAAAACAATTAGTCAATTAAAGGAGATTTAATATAAAAGAGTCCAACTATAGAAAACAAAATTCATATTAATGGAATATATAAAGCTAGTCAAGCTGGGCACAGATAGCTTAGGCCTTTAATACTAGGTAGGAACTCAGGAAGATAAAATCTAAAGATCCAGGTTCAAAGTCAGCCCATGCAGACAAATCCATGAGACCCTTATTTTCAATTAACTAGCAAAAAGCCAGAAGTGGAGGCACAGCTCAAGTGGTAAAGTACCAGCTGTGAGGAAAACAGCTAAGCAAGAGACTTGAGTTAAAGCTTCACATGCACATGCGCGCACACACATATACACAAACAGAGCTAGTCAAGAAATAGAAAAATTGATATAAAATCAATATCCTTGCAAGAAAGATATATGAAGATTATTTAAAGAAGAAATGGTACAGAAAGACAAAATAGTATATGACACTGAACAAGACAGGAAGTTTTATATGAATCATTGGTGGTGAGGTGATAGAATAGACTCTGCATTTCCCTCCCCTGAATTCTGAATAGTTTCTGACAGAAAAATGGTTAAGAGGGATCTGGCTCCCATGTTACCTTTTTCCTCTTTTTTATTTTTCTCAGCAAATAAGCAAGAATTTGTACAGGATCTATGGAAATAAGAAGGGCAATAATGCTATTCCAATTACTTTGTGTGACAAGTCCATTCTTCCTCCTACTTTATCTTGAAAACTCCTAAATTTTCTTTGCAACCTAGCACAGGGACAATAGTACATTTATGAGGAAGCCTTCCTAATCTTTAAAACATAGGGCTAGGTGGTAGAGCACCTGCAGAGCCCTAGGTTCAACACAAGGCCCTAAGTTCAAACACAGTAAAGAAGGAAATAGAAACATATTGTCTTTGCTGACTTCTGAAACCAACATTTGGTTGTGCCTAGTCCAGAACATATTTATTTGCTTACTTGTTTAAAGTATCACAAACTCAACTTTGATGGGGAAGTCAAATTTTGTATGGCTTGTACTATACAATAATATATTTAAATGCCTTTAGGTGAGGCATTTACATTTTTTTTTGTCCTGTGCTAGGGATAGAACCCACTACCTCTGAGCATGCTAGAAAAATGGTCTACCATCTAGCTGCATCCCCAGGAAAGTATTCTTTGTTGTCTACTTCTCTGTTGTCTTATTCTACACAAACCATAAATTCATAACTATCTAGCTTCCCAAAGCACGTTAAACTCCCAGGCTTGGTCAAGTAAACTGAATTTTATGAAGATAGGAGGTAAAAGAAAAACATAGAAGGACTATTTGAATAGGAATTCACATGTACTTACCTGCTGGTGATTGGGAAAATGTTCCATGGCTTTAAGCAGCAAATGGGTTACATCAGCCAGGAGCCGGACAGGCATTCCTGCAGCAAGATCCTGCTTGGTTAAGTTAAAGACACAGGCACTTGCAGCCAGCTGCACTGGCAAATTCATGGGGTGGTTTCTCATGCCAGTCACCACAAGCTAGGAAGAAAAAAAGTAGTCTTAATTTACTTTTTTTTTTTTAAAAAAGCTTTTTTTTGTCAGTCATGGGGCCTGAACTCTGGGCCTGGGCGCTGTCACTCAGCTCTTCAGCAAAAGGCTAGCGCTCTACCACTTGAGCTACAGCGCCACTTCCAGCTTTTTCTGCTTATGTGGTGCTGAGGAATTGAACCCAGGGCCTCATGCATGCAAAGCAAGTACTCTACCACTGAGCCACCTTCTCAGCCCTTTTAGTTTACTTTATATATACAAACCTTCTATTTTTTTAAAAAAGTTTTAACAAGGATTTATTTTAGTATAACAGGTTCAAGTTGGGGGGGGTTGGGGGAAGGCAAAGTTGGAGAAAAATGAGGGAGGGGGTAACAAGTTGAAAAGAAATGTACTCATTACCTTACATATGTAACTGTAACCCCTTTATATATCACCTTGACAATAAAATCAAGTTAAAAGCTGGGCACGGGGTGGCTCACACCTGTAATCCTAGCTATTCAGGAAGCTGAGATCTAAGGATCACAGTTTAAAACCAGCCCAGGCAGGAGGGGCTGTGTGAAACTTTTCTCTCCAATAAACCACTCAGAAAACTGAAAGTAGTGCTGTGGCTCCAGTGGTAGAGTGCTAGCCTTGAGCTGAAGAGCTAAGGGACAGGGGGCAGTGTCCAGGCCCAGAGTATAAGTCCCACAACCAATCAACAACAAAAATCCAGAAAGACGATTTGTGATAACATGAAAATCTGTATATTGGTAAGGGGATATGTAGTCAGACTTTTCTGCCCAGACTGGCTTCAAACCACAATCTTCAGATCTCAGCATCTTGAGTAGCTAGGATTATAGGCATGAGCCAAGGGTGCCTGGCTCCACATCATTTTTTTTTATTCTGCACTGAATCAGTAGCATACAAAAACTATTATTCCCCCGTCTTTTTTTGAGGGGGTTACTGGGACTTGAACTTGTATTCTTTCTTAGGTTTTTTTCACCCAAGGCTGGTACTCTATTATTTGAGCCACCCCTCCAACTTCCAGTTTTTTTTGTTGATTAAACAAAGTTAAGAGTATCTTGGATGTGTGTACCCAAGCTGCCTTTAAACTATGATCCTCAGTTCTCAGCCTTCTGAGTAGCTAGGAATACAGGTGTGAATTGCTGGTACCTGGTTTATTTCCTCCATCTGTAAAAAACGAAGCATTGAAAGGTGGAGATCATGAATACAGTTCAAGGCCAGGCTAAGAAAAAAATGTAGTGAAATGTCCAGTCATGGTAGTTCAAGTCTGTAATCTCAGTTATGTGGTTGGTAGAGGTAGGAATATCAGTCTGAAGCCAGATCAGACAAGAAACATGAGACTCTATGTGAAAAATAAATTTAAAAAAAAAGCTAGAGAGGCAGGGCTTGGTAGAGAGCATTTATGTAGCAAACTCAAGGTAGTATTTCAGGGCTACCAAACAACACAAAAAAAAAAAAAAAAAGAAAGAAAAATAAAATTACTTTATTCATTTACCACCTTTTTGGTTGTTGTTTACCTTTGAAGCAAGATTTCTTGTTCACAAAGCAAAAAAAAAAAAAAAAAGACAAGTACATAGTAAATTTCAATGTCCTCTGGTACCCATGGAGAGAGTGACAGGTGTAGATGATGATATACTAAGCAATGTAGTTCGTATCCAAGCAGCCCCTCCTCAAAATTTAAGGTACTTAAAGGGTGATTTCTTATTTTTCCACTAACTTATTGAATTTGCACTCTCACAGACCCTCAGTTTCACAATCTGTAAAACCGATGATAAAGGGCTGGGAATGTGGCTTAGTGGTAGAGTGCTTGCCTAGCCTGCATGAAGCCCTGGGTTCAATTCCTTAGCACCATAAACAAAAAAAAGCTGGAAGTGGCACTGTGACTCAAGTGGGTAGAGTGCTAGCCTTGAGCACAGAGAGGCTCAGGGACAGAGACCAGGCCCTGAGTTCAAGCCCCAGGTCAGGCAAAAAAAAAAAAAAATCTTGTGTTCAATAAATATTAACAGCTGGGTGCTAGTGGCTCACGCCTATAATCCTAGCTACTCAGAAGGCTGAGATCTGAGGAGTGCGGTTCAAAGCCAACCCGGGCAGGAAAGTCTGTGAGACTCTTTTTTTTTTTTTTCTTGGGTCCGGTCATGGGGCCTGAATTCTTGGCCTGGGCGCTGTCCCTCAGCTCTTTAGCTCAAGGCTAGCGCTCTACCACTTGAGCCACAGCACTACTTCTGGCTTTTTCCTTATATGGTGCTGAGGAATCAAACCCAGGGCCTCATTCATACAAGGCAAGTGCTCTACCACTAAGCCACCTTCCCAGCCCCGCCATGAGACTCTTATCTCCAAGAAACCACTAGAAAACCGGAAGTGGCGCTGTGACTCAAGCTGTAGAGTGCTTACCTTGAGCTGAATAGCGCAGGGACAGCGCCCAAGCCCAGTGTTCAAGCCCCAGGACTGACAATAAATAAATAAATAATATTAATGCCAAATATAATATACTCTGTTTTTCAAAGTTGTATGCTTAAGATTGATCTCAGGGGCTCATCTAGCCATATCAAATTTAAATTTCTTGAGGCATTTATTTTGATGCCAGGGATCAAACCTTTAACATGTTAGAAAAGCACTGAGCTAGCTGTACCTGTAGCCACTCAAATACCTTTTTTTTTTTTTTTTTTTGCCAGTCCTGGGGCTTGAAGTCTGGGCCTGAGCTCTGTCCTTGAGCCCCTGTGTGCTTAAGACTAGTGTTCTAGCTCTCTCTGCTTTTCTAGCTCTTTCTCAGCTCTTTCCCAGCTTTCTTTCTAGCTCTCGCTCTGCTCTCTCTGCTCTTTTCTAGCTCTCTCTGCTCTCTCCTCTCTCTTTGCTCTCTCTCTGTTCTTTTCTAGCTCTTCTATCTCTCTTTCCCAGCTCTCCCAGCTCTTTCCCAGGCCTTTCCCCACCACGTGGAGGACCAAGATGGCCTGGTGCCAGCCGGAACGATGAATAAACCTACCCCTTACCTGAAAAAAAAAAAGACTAGTGTTCTACCAGTTGAGCCACAGTGCCATTTCCTGCTTTTTCTGAGTAGTTTACTGGAGTAAGAGTCTAACAGACTTTCCTGCCCAGGCTAGCTTCGAACTGCAATCCTCATATCTCAGCTAGAAACAAATACCTTTTTTTTTGGTTGGTCATAGGGCTTGAACTCTGGGCTTGGGTGCTGTCCCTGTGCTTTTCGGCTCAAGGCGAGCTCTCTAGCCACAGCGCCACTTCTGGCTTTCTAGTGGTTTATTGGAGATAAGAGTCTCACAGACTTTCCTGCCCGGGCTGGCTTTGAACCACAATCCTCAGATCTCAGGCTCCTGAGTAGTGCAAACTGGCCTGGAACTGGTAATACTCCTGTTTTAGCATCCTGAGGGTTAAATTACAGAAATGTGCCACCACACTTGACCTGAATATGCTTTTGAAAATAGGCGATATTGGATGGGAATGTGACCTAGTGGTAGAGTGCTTGCCTAGCATTCACGAAGCCCTGGGTTCAATTCCTCAGTACCACATACGCAGAAAAAGCTGGAAGTGGTACTGTGCCTCAAGTGGTAGAGTGCTGGCCGTAACAAAAGCAGCTCAGAAAAAGTGTCCAGGCCCTAAGTTCAAGCCCCAGAAGAAGGAAGGAAGGAAGGAAGGAAGGAAGGAAGGAAGGAAGGAAGGAAGGAAGGAAGGGAGGGAGGGAGGGAGGGAGGGAGG